ATCCCCGCAGCCTACAACAACAGCCTTACTATCCTCAGAGGGATCAATGGACATTGCATCCATGCGCTTATTGACACAGGTGCAACACGGTTGTTCATGGCCACCAATGTTGCCGCCAAGTTAGGACTTACGCCGCATCCCACGCAAGCAAGGATTTCAACAGCCATTCTCCACGTATCAAAAAACCCACGTAACGCATATGGGGAGTACAAAGTTTTCACTTGGCTCTGCTACCTATTGCGCATCCTTCTTTCTCCTGTCCACTTCACGTTATCCTGTCATCATTGGGCTTTACGTGCTTTAGGACCTCCCATTCTGTGTGACCCTTGACGGGCAACACATCTTTTTGGGGTTCCAAAATATAAAACCCACCAACAAAGAGCCACAAGCCCCTGTGGGTGACGGCATTCAGTTTGTGGATGGTTTGGACACCAAATGCGCATCGGTAACGGCACTACTGCTGAAGCATAAAAATAACTTCTTTCAGTGGAGTGGCAAACACGGACTGTTCCCACAGTACGTCGCAGCCCTCCCCACAAATGGGCAAGACCCAGAACCGCCAAGGCGCATCTGCATCTCACCGGATAAGATGCCTGCGCTTAACAAAATCATCAATAATTATACCTGAGCAGGGATAATAGAAACCGCACAGTCAACCATCAACTCTCCAGCCTTCCTGACGCTGAAGGACGATGATCCAAATGCACCAGCAATCAAAAGGTGGAGAATTGTGGAGGACTAACATGAGATTAATAAGGTGCTACTCCCTGACAATACCCAATGCCGGTCATCCAAGATATCTTGGACACGCTTGGGCAGCAGAACGCCTACTTCTGCTGCCTTGATTTACATTCCAGATATCATCATATCCCCCTTGCGCATAGTAATTGCCAGAAAATGGCATTTTCTACACCAAAGGGCCAAATGCAATACACGGTCCTGCCCTATGGGCTAAAAACAGGACCAGCAATTTTCCAAAGAACAATGGGAACCATCCTACGCCCACACTTGTACTCAAAGTGCTTGGTGTACATTGACAACATAATTGCATAATTGTCTTCGGAACAGACTTTGCACAGGTTAGAAACAACCTTGCGGAAGTACTTGAGATGCTGGCGGCCGCCAGGGCCTCCATTGACATGGCCAAATTGCAATTTTTGGCTAAATTGATCAAGTTTCTTGGTCACATTTTAGAAGAAATGGGAATGCATCCAGCAAACAAACATCTAAAAGCAGTAGAGGCATTCCCAAAGCCGGAAACTACGCAACAGATGCAGAGATTCCTGGGACTCACAACGTACTCAAGAGCGCACGTCCCCACCAATTATGCAAACCTAGAAAAGGTGTTCCACTTGACAATACTGTTCAAACTGGCAATAGCACTTCAATGGTCAGAACAAGCAGACACAGCTTTTGAAGAACTCAAAAAGGCAATTGCCCAGACAGCCAGACTGGAAAGATTTGAACCATCATGGCAAACCAAAATACATTGCAATCCGTTGGCTATGGCGATTGGAGCAATATTGGTCCAGCTGGATGATCAAAGACAGCCACACATTATGGAGTATGCCAGTCAGGTACTCACACTGGTGGAAACATGGTACTCCAACACCCAGAGGGAACTGCTGGCAGCAGTCTGGGCAACTACCAAAAAATTTAGACATTACGTGGAGCATTGCCAGTTCAAAATAGTGACAGACCATAAAGCGCTGCTTGGCAAACTCACCAACACTCAGCTGATCAGCTTGAAATTAAAATTGGAATATTTCCAATATACACTGGTGCACCGGCCAGGCAAGACAATCACCGGGCCAGACGCACTCAGTCAAATCCAGCTCCACTCAATTGAGCTCCAAGAAATCCCCTTGACCAAGGAGAGACAGGCCCTCATAGAGGAATACCACCTTGAAATGGGGCACCCCAACTGGAAGAAAACATTCCAACATCTAAGGCAGAGGTTTACCTGGCCCAATATGCTAGCCAACATATTCTGCCAAATCTCCAAGTGGGCAAAATGCTTCACATTCAACACTGCAATGTCAAAGGTGGGTGCCCCGCTCAAACCAGTCCCGCCGGCCAATAAACATGACTGGCTAGGCATTGACTTCTGGGGACTGTTCCCCCCATTGCAACAGGGCCACCAATATGCGCTAGTTGCAGTGGACTATTTCTCAAAACGGGCAATTGCCCAACCAGTGGAACAAGCAACAGCAAATGCTCTATGCTCCTTCATTGCTGACGTGTTTTCTCAATTGGGGTCATTCAAAATAATCCACTCAGATGGAGCCGCGGTATTTTTGTCAGTGGCCTTCCTCAGATTTCTAAAGGTGAACCAAATTCAAGTGCACATTGCACAGCCGTATCACCCGGAAGGCAACAGCGCTTGTGAAAGGACAATAAAGTCTCTTTCAACAATAATAGCAAAAATGGCAACAAGCCTGACAACGTGGGACCTAGTCCTACACAACGCAACATTGGCGTATAATTTTGCCCCCCATTCCACAACGGGGCTCCCACCCATCAAACTGTGGCATGGACAACCTGTCCCCACACCATGTGACATAAAATTCAACTTGCCTATTTGGGACATTACACCGCAATTACAAGCGGTCAAAAAAGTGGCCCAGAAACAAAGAACCCGGTACATTCAGCAAGCAAATAAGCAGCAAAACCCTCCATTCAGGGCCAGGCAACTGGTCGCCTTACTACCACGCCTAAAAACCACCAAATGCCACGCAGCTCAGCAACGCTTCCTTCCCAAGCGCTTTGGGCCGTTTAAAATATTGAGGCAACAGGGAAAGGCGCATTTGCCATCAAAACACCCCAAAGGGTACGACTTGCAAATGCATTGGAACTCCAACCATATTCCTTTTTGTCCGCGCCCCCCCCCCATCCTGCCCATCAAATCTGATAAAAGTTAATAACAAAGCTTCTCCCTCTGCTCTTCCTGAACAGGATTCCAAAACCTCCGCCCAGCGCCCCAGGTTCCACCTCAGCAAGGGCTTGGACAACAAACTTTGTCCAGCAATGCCAGAGGAAGCAGAAACGGGGCACGGGACCCAACCAGAGATGCCACCAGATCTATGGCAACAATGGAGGATGATCTCCTCCAACTGCCCAACAGCTCTGACAAGCCAGAACCACAATGCTGACCAACCTCAACCAAGGAGGATGACAACTCCCAACTGGGGTCCTTTGCCAGTATGGAGCGACAAAATTGCTCTGCTAGTGAGTCCAGCCCACACTCCGTCCCCGCAGCCACGGCCCAATGTGACAACACCAGGAAGCTATGTTGCTTCCCATCATTGTCCTCCAGCAGCTCCTTGGAACCAGAGGAAATGCCAGGGATCAAGCCGAAACGGTCCACACTGGCAGCACCACTTACTGGCCAGGGACCCATCACGGATGACAAGGACTGAAGACCACAACAACCACAACCAAGGAGAGGACCACCAATGTACCAAAAGGCGCCACCAACATCCCAAGCATTTTTGCAACTATGTGCCCCAACCCCAGGATTTTTTTTAGCCATCTCCGGCACCTTTTTTCAGGGGGGGGGGGAGAGTAACAGCCGTTGCCAGCCATTGTTTCCTGCACAACATGTTTGCATCTTTGAAGTGTTTTTACGTTTTTAAACAGTGGCCAATCACAGGCCCTCGGCCAAGCCAAGCTTGTGCGCTTCTGGCAGCCATCTTACGTTACCATTGAGTATGGGGTCTTGCTCAGCCCCAGTTGTCACTCAGTGCCTGACTTCCGAACCGCGCAGATCTCTCTGTGTACATAATGTTGGTGTTCGCTAACTCGGGTATTAAGTCGTTCTGATCAGTTACCTGATTTGAACTTATTCCTCAGAGTGTTTATCATTGACTCTCTTGAGTGACCTAATTCCAGTCAATTCTGACTGTAGTAATCCAAACAAACAATGAGTAAATCCTATTATATTTTATCACAGTTCCGCCCCGAACCACTCAGCAGATCCATTCAAAGTATGGTCTCATAACTAAAATTGACCAATTGTCACAAAGGGAATGACTAAATACAGTAAAAATCAATGTACAGAGTTCACGAAAATCCTTTGCACTTTATTAGAGCACGAATGACCTGTTTTCCACCCATAAACTGCACATCAAGAAATCATCACACCAGTAATGCCACACGAATTAAACGACTCCGTGATGTACTTGTTTCATCCCTTATTCATCTTCTGTCGAAAATTTAGATGAGGGGTGTTTAGAAACACGAGATTTGCTAGGATGGGGGGGAGAGTAACAGCCGTTGCCAGCCATTGTTTCCTGCACAGCATGTTTGCATCTTTGAAGTGTTTTTACGTTTTTAAACAGTGGCCAATCACAGGCCCTCGGCCAAGCCAAGCTTGTGCGCTTCTGGCAGCCATCTTATGTTACCATTGAGTATGGGGTCTTGCTCAGCCCCAGTTGTCACTCAGTGCCTGACTTCCGAACCGCGCAGATCTCTCTGTGTACATAATGTTGGTGTTTGCTAACTCGGGTATTAAGTCGTTGTGATCAGTTACCTGATTTGAACTTTGAGTTACCTGATTTTGAACTTATTCCTCAGAGTGTTTATCATTGACTCTCTTGAGTGACCTAATTCCAGTCAATTCTGACTATAGTAATCCAAACAAACAATGAGTAAATCCTATTATATTTTATCACAGTTCCGCCCCGAACCATCCAGCAGATCCATTCAAAGTAATGTCTCATAACTAAAATTGACCAATTGTCACAAAGGGAACGACTAAATACAGTAAAAATCAATGTACAGAGTTCACGAAAATCCTTTGCACTTTATTAGAGCACGAATGACCTGTTTTCCACCCATAAACTGCGCATCAAGAAATCATCACACCAGTAATGTAACACGAATTAAACGATTCCGCGATGTACTTGTTTCATCCCTTATTCATCTTCAACGCAAGCACAAAAACCACGCATAACTTCCAACGCTTGTATATTTGTGTTATCTTTATAGAAAATTTTCATTTAGAAATTTCCGAACAAATTGCGCAATCTCTGCAGAAAGGTGATCACAATCCAGGTCTTATTAGTCGGTTCTGGGTCTGTTGTAGTGGCTGCGTTTAAGCATTTATCAGCGTATTGGCAGACGAAGGAAGCATGTCCATCATAACTCAAACTGCTGGCAATGGTTGTCAACTTGGTTGGTTCTGTTAAATTTGAAACTACGGTTTTCACTCCAACGATTGCTGCGATGGGGGATGCGTAATTAATGAGGACTGGAGACCCGAATACTCCCTGAAACAAGGAATACATATTTTTTTCAAGCACTGTACAGTATTCATCTTGAAAATGATAGAAACAATCTCATAAGTAAATATAATCATGAACAACATTTTGGAAGAATAATTGCAAAAATTCATGATGTACAGTTCAAAATTTACAGAATCTCAAAATGAATCAATGAACTGAAAGAGCATTTGTCACATGCTGTGTGTCACTCATTTGTGGAAGTACATTTGACCCTGTATAAGTCAAGCCTCCCAAAGTAAAAAATTTTTCAAGTCCCTGCCTGAATTTCCTTAGAAACAATGTACAATATTAAAGTCCTCCTCATCTTCAAAGCTTTACCTATCAAACCTTCATTACTTTAATTCTCTGCGACATTTTGGAAATTATTTTTTGACACATGAAACGGATTAGCAATATAACAAGTACTGGTAGCTTATAAATGTGTTTTGAAAGAAAGTGACATATACTGATTGGGCAAATGAACCCCTGCTTCCCAGTTCAGCAGGCTATAAACTCATCTAAGAAGCGATTTGAGGCTGGCCATATTACCATTTACAAATTCCTGCAATTTTTTCATGTTTCCCACTACAAAAATGCAGGTTTCCGTATCTGAAAACCTCTCTGATTAATTTTGTTTGTTTGTATACCTTGAAATTTGACATGGAGAGATTGGACTGTCTCTTCCTTTCAAAACACATTAAGTTACTTGTTTGATTGCTTTTATCTTTCATGTGTCAAAAAAGAATTAGAAGAAACTTTCCAATAATTGACGTTTCAGGAAAAATTTGACGTTCTTGCAGATTCTACACACCTTCATGACAGATGTGAAAAATAATCAAACTGCTGTAGATATTTTGGGCTTCCTTCACTACATTTTACCCCAAAATTTGACTATACCTCTCATACTTCTAGAAAAAGTGGATTTCGTTTTTTCCCCTTACTACGTCGTCTACGTTGGAGGCGCTGGAATCTTGTAATTTGAAGCACAGGGACCATTGCAGACCCACGGATAAAGAATTGCTGCATTCTACGCCGACATAACTCGCGTGCTGAAGTTCAGCATTGCCTGGGAAATTAGGAGGATACGATTCAGAAATAAACGCAAAATGATTCTCCATCTGGACGAAACCCTGTATATACAGTACTCACTTTCGGTGCGATTCCAGTCCAGGATCGTGACACCTTGTCCGATGTACGTGGCTCCGGCATTGTGAACAACCGGAATGGTTCTCACAGTGACACCTAAAACGGCATCTGAAGGTAGGTACAGAATCGCCGGTTGATGTTTAATGAATTGATCTGCAGAAGGGTTATCAAAGTTCAAGACATAGTCCGGGTGTCGAATCACGCTCGACAGTGTAACATTGAAATCCTGCACGTTCGGTGATGTCATTGATGTGCCACCCAGGGTGACATGAAGGCTTAATAGCGTCAAATTGGAAAGTTCGAAAAATTTTGGATCGATGATCCAGGCTGTGGTGAGAACGTGTCTGTTGAGGAAACAAGAGAATCACATCAGTCTCAAGACTATAAACTATGAACCCCACAGTACAATTTTGAATTTACTGTACTGAAAAATTGGCTTTTGCCAGGATACATGATAGATAAGTACTGTGTAAAATGATGTCTATGGGATGGACTAGGAAACACTGTATAATTACATATTGTTTTCTTCATTGATTGTTCAAACTATCCTGAACATTATACACCAGTGTTCCCCAACCTTCTGGGGCATGCCAGCCATCAAATTTTTATGAAACTCTTCGCAGGCCAGAAAACTTCCCCCAAATTTTTCTGTGGACAGGCAAAGTGTCATGACATTTTTCAGACTCAAGGAAGTCTGCAAACACTCTTGAAAGACTTTCTGGCAGGCATTGGGAAGATTTCTGCTTTTTTGAGGTAAAAATTAAGACCCAATAATAGCGAATCAGCTATAGTGGAAAGTCTTCAAACAATTAGATGGGGCTGAAGAAAGGTTTCTCAGAATGGGAAAATTAGAATACTTTTTTCTTCAGTTAAAATTTTTTCTGAAGTGTTATTAGGAGAAAACCCAACTTCTATTTTTTCATCATATAATTTCAACTGCTGTTGTCTCTCCAACATTTCAGATAAACAGATCAGGCTCCCTCCTCACTTTTGATAAATTAATTGTACGGAAAATTTCCCCAGTATAGTGGCCAACATTTTCTGGTGACTAGGGCCATTCTGCTTACCACCAGTTGGGAACGTCACTGTTATACACCACACACTACAGGTTCAAATTAAATGGCTGTGTGCAGAGAAATCTGAATTGCAGTAGCTTTTTGAATGAATGAATGAACAGAAAACTTTATTTGCCTCTTTTCAGCATTCACAAGGGATAACCAGAACTCCTGCATCCAAACCCCCTCCCCACCCAACCCAACTCCCCCAAATACATTCAATCATTTCAAAGCATGAAACAAAGCATAGAACAAAGCATAGCTTTTTGATGTTTTGACCCATATGAGTTGAAGCCTTATGGAAGATGTTGATTTTTATTGCATGAAAAACAGTTTGAAGAAAAAAGTGTATGCTCAAGTTTCAGTTCATATAAGGACAGGTTGGCTAACCTGCTGATTGTCAATTTTTATTTTTACCTTCTTTCTCAATTTGACTTATTTTTCCAGCACTCTCTTCGTCTTAGAAATTTTGAATTCTGCAAATTCCTTGACACCATTCCATGCATTTTGGAAATGTTGGCGCCGAATCAAGATTTAAAACTTTTCAAATTTGTAAAATTCTTGTTCTTCTCAAAAATATAAAAGAGAATTATACCACATAACATAGGTTTAAATAACATTGTAATTTAATTAATTTTTTATTTAGCTTGCAAGAAGGGGCGATCAGAGCAATGAGAAATATGTACGGTATGACTACTGTAGCTTGGAGTTAGTGAATATACCTTTTCGAAATCAGAGATCCACCCTGCAATGGGAATCTGATGACGGTAGCAGGCACTGAAACATTAATGGTAGCATCAACCCTGGCAAAATAGGGCGCATTTGTTATGTCCGTCTCCGCGACGCCACCTTCAATGCGAGAAGAGGAAGAATTGATCCCAGAAGAAGTATTCAATCGGTTGGAGATTTGTGCGATTATTTGCTGAATCTGATTATGCGCAGAACTAACGACAACGTTGTTCGTCCCGAAATGACCAGTCGATCCTGTGTGATCAAAAAAAAAAGAAGAGTAAACTGCCAACTTTCAAATGAAAAAGCAACGATTTTCTTCTCACCAGCAGTAATAGCTGTGCAGTGATGAATTCCTGCAACAATGAGCAATAGTAAGACATTGTTTGCCACGACGTAGACTGAATCACGTGACAAACGCATCTATTCAATGATGGGGAATTTCAACACGGACGAGATCAAAACCAAAGAAACAAGCAATTTAACCTCAAGGTTTCCTACAAAGATAAGATGTCCGGAGGAAAAATCTCGTACTGTATTAGCAAATATTTTGGATGCTTTGTGCAACTTGATCCCACTTGCGAAATAAAATCTTTCCAAGTTTTTCACAGCTCGCATCAAGGTAAACTTTTTTTTTTTTTTTACATTGTAACTCTGCGGATCGCGGCCGTGTCAAAAGAAACGTCTCGACTTCGACGATCAACTGTGGAGTGCTTCACTCTGGGTCGAATTATATGGGCCAGACTGCTTCAAAAACTGTGAAAAGAAGCATGAATTTTTTTGTGAAAATATGTGTTGTTGCTGTGCTTTCACCCATTAGTAATCGATCCTTGTGCGGTTGGAAACGTCGTGTTACGAAGAGCTCTTGAGAAAAAAAAAAGTTCATTAACCCCTGTGCACCTGATTTTTTGTAGCTGTTAATTTGTCATCGCTACGTGATTTTTTTAGCAGAAATTTATTACCATCACCTCTCTCGATGATCTTGAGAAAAGAAAATGTACATTAATTAAATTCACAAAAAAGTTGAAAATTGTTTCCTATCTTTGCAAGTTTTCTCTTGATACGACTCGTTTGACCACACCTCGCCAGAAACTATAATAATTTACATTCTCTCTTTATTCATTGCTGGCATCATTATTCATCACCTATACACTCCTATATTCAATGTTGCACTATTTTAAAAGGTATATACTGTTCGGAAGAGGGAACAATGTTGAAATTAGCTGATCGTTTCTGGAATGCGAAAAAGTTCTTCTCTTATTCTTGTCTAAACTTCGGCTGATTTCACAGAAAAACATGCTGGAAAATATTTCCCGAATATTTGTTCTTACATTATCGAACTGATAAGGAAAATGGTATCATAAATAGATGACGAATGCCTGGAAACTGTTTGTGTATAGAAAATGCAACGTATCTCAGAAAATAATGTCTGTGAAATATTATCACGAATCGAAAATGATGAGAACCAACGTTTCCAGGGGACAACAATAATGTGTTTGAATATTTTCAGAAGAATTATCATAATGAGAAATATAAGTTTCATGCAACTATCTACGCAAAATTGACACCTTTTCTGTGTGCATCGTCTAACGAATTTGAAAGGAGATGAATTCAATATGCTAATACCTTCATGCATTGTGGTGATTTCCATTCCAATTCTCTTGTTATTACTAGAATCACAGTACTCCAATGGTTTATTTTAATATAGTGATGATCCCTTTTATATTTTAATACAGTGACAGTGCTACTTTGAACTATATTGAGCAGATTCATTCAAAGTTACATATAACAACTGAAAATGACAAATTTTGACCAAGTGTCCTGTTGAGGACATTAATCAACTCACCATGAAGATTGAACACGGTGCAGTGGAAACATGAAATGAAATGGTAAGCCAGGGCAATCAGCCTTTAATCATATATGCCAAGAACACATATTCTAGAGGACCTTGAATGTGTGTTCTTAGTTTTGAACTTTCATAAAATTTTAAATCACAAAAATCTGGAATTAAATGCAAGAAATAACAATAACACATTTGTGTGCAATTTGTATCAAGAAGATAGTGGGATAATAATAAGAATTTGCCAAAAGTTGTGGGTGTGTATTAAGAGAATTAGTAGATTAAAAAATTAATCTAAAAAACCATGTTTTCAAAAAGCAAAAAATAACCTTAAATGTGGTGCGCATCTATTCCATTTGTATTTCACTTCTTCCCAACAATCTCCATGCGCACCACGTTTAAGGTTATTTTTTGCTTTTTGAAAACGTGGTTTTTTAGATTAATTTTTTAAT